AAATTTACGTTGGGTTGTTGTAATATTGTATGTACGCCTATTTTTGAAAGCTCTGTAAATTCAGAAAGTTTTGGTGGTTCGCCAATTATTCTACTAAGACAATCTGCAGCTTTATTAAAAATTCCTTCTTTATATTTTATAANCAGCTTTATTAAAAATTCCTTCTTTATATTTTATAGAATAATCAAAACCTGTTAGTTTAACTTTAAGTTTATTAACTATACGTGAATCAGTTTTAATATTTAATAAGCTTGTTAAGTTTTTATGATCAGTCCAAATTTCGAAGTACTTTCCATGAACATAAGGACGAAAAACAGTTAATGCGTGAAAAATTGCTAGACACTCTAAATCCATTGCGCTATATCGGCCTTCGGCTTTAGTCAGTTTTTTGGATGAGAATGCTACTGGATGAATTTCATTGTTTTGATTACGCTGCTGGAGGATAGCACCTAAACCCAATTTAGATCCGTCAGTTACAATTATAGTTTCTGCATTTTCATCATAGTGAGCTAATACTGGCTGACTAGTTAATTTACTTTTCAGTTCAAGAAAAGCACGTTCATGTGTGTCTTCCCACTTGATTGGTGAAAGTTTGCTATTANAAAAGCACGTTCATGTGTGTCTTCCCACTTGATTGGTGAACGTTTGCTATTGAATTTACCTCTAGTTAGATCTGTTAAAGGTTTTGCGATGTTACTAAATTTTGGAATATAACGTCTAAAATAATTAGCTAGACCTAAAAAACTGCGAAGTTGTTTAATCGTTTTAGGTTGTGGGAATTTTTGTATAGTTTCTATTCCCTGTTGAGTGGGTCTTATTCCCTTCGTATCAATAATGTTGCCTAATACTTTTAATTCCTGATAGCCAAATCTACACTTTGATGGTTTTAGTTTTAAGTTATACTTTAAAAATCGTTGAAATGTTAATTCTAGTGAATATAAATGAGACTCAAATGATTTGCCAAATGCAACGCAATCGTCTAAATAGCATATATTGTGTCTATAATTTAAGCCAGCCATGACTTTACACATAGCAGCTTGATAAAATTGGGGTGCATTAGATAACCCAANTTTTTCTAGGTATCATATCCTAGTGGTGTCAATGTAGATTATGGAAACGAACTTACGCCAACACAAGTAAAAGATGAACCAACAGTTAAATGGGATGTTGAAGATAACACTCTTTACACTTTATGCATGACAGGTATTTCTTTTTAAGTATCACCATATAAGTTAATACTACATTAACTAGTCAACAAATTACCTAAAAACTATTTATGTTTTATACATATTTTTGGTTAAAAAACGATATTCTTACATTTTTAAATAAATAATAGATCCTGATGCTCCTAGTCGAAAGGAACATACTTATAGAGAAGTACAACATTGGCTTGTTGGAAATATACCAGGTACTGAAATAAGCAAAGGTGAAACTCTTACAGAATATATTGGTTCAGGACCTCCTCTAGATACTGGTATTTACTTACGTATCATCATTTTTACTTGATTATTCTTTTTATTTGATTCTGTTTCTAGGACTTCATCGTTATGTATTTTTGGTATACAAACAACCATCTAAATTAATATTTAATGAACCATATGTTACTAACAAGTAATTATTTTTAAGAATTCTTCTACTATATTAATAATATAATATTAATCAAAATGGTAATTTAGGTCACCTGGTAATCGTACTCATTTTTCTATTCATAAATTTGCTCAGAAATACAATCTTGGATTACCAGTTGCTGGTAATTTTTATCAGGCACAATATGATGATTATGTGCCACTTCGCTACAAACAGCCAACTACAACTTGAACAGAAATTTATTACAATATTTATTTAAAAAAACAAAACTATTATATATTAAAACACTCTTTAAATAGGGTATTTATAAATCATAGTACTGTATAAATAAATGTATAAACCATTGTTTATGTATTTATGTTACATTTGTTGTTTTCATTATATAATTTTTATCAAAATAAATTCTAAACTTTGAACAAATATTTGTTTTTATTAATTACTTATTAAATAATTGAGTATTAACAGCAATCTATAAGAATTATTATTTATTAAAGAGGTTTAGTCCAAAAAAATTATACTTCAAATAAATTTTAAAAAATGAAATTTTCTTTAAAAAATTTTAATGCCTTTACAGATTATTAATAAAAATAATATTAGTAATTTCAGATGAAATTGTATACGAAAACTTTATTTCTTTAGTTCCTTAAATTTTATCTTCTTTTACTGAACTCTTTTCATAAATGAAAAATTTTCTACACTCAATGATTTTACTATATAATTATATAAAATTGTTATTTGGATGACAATGAATTGAAATACTATAAAGGGTCATAACTAAAGGGGCTAGCATGCTTCCTCAAATATCTCAGATAGCTCAAAAGGCCTATTTTAAATTAATTATAACAAAATTAAATGCTAAGTAGTTGCCAGGCTTATAAACCAAGCTGAAATTTAAAAAATACTTCACTTTTTTTTTAGATCTAGTAAAATTTTACTACACCTTTTATGTCATAAAATAGTAATATTTCAACAAATAACAATCAGCCCAATTATTTTTACATTATTTTATGTTAAATCTATTTTTTTATTCCACCAATACTTTAATCAAAGCTTAATAGATTTTTAAATATTTTTTTGTTATACTCTCTATAATTTCGTATTATGATAATCACCGGCGTATGAAAAGAATTAATTTTAGCTCAATCTCCTAAAAATTTGATTACCCTACGAAAATGGTGTAGGTTTTGTTCATTAACTTGTTATAAACATTTTATGATGTTTTAAATACTAAAATAAATATACTATGATATCTTTTATTTAATATTCATAAATATTGTACATGTGAACCGGACTTTCATGTATTAACTATATTAAATCTTAATCTTTTTAAAAAGCAAGCGCTTTGTGCTGTTTTTCTTCCATGGAATTTTGTTTATCTTTTAATCACTTAAAAATAATTTGATTACATTGGATGTACGCATAATTCAACAGATTAGTAATGCATAGAAGTAATCATTTATGTAATCTTTATTGAAAAAAAAAACTATTATCGGCTTCAAGTGTTATTTAGAATTACTCAATCATATTATTCGTTATCTAATATAGTGGTAATACATAAATTTTTTTTATTAAAATTCTGTAAAAACACCAACAGTTTTGGATAACTATTCTGTTATTTATAGCAATTTTTCTTCAATTTCCGCACTTGTTATTGACTGTGTTCATGGCATTATTAGTCACTTGTACACGATTATTTTCTCAAGTTTTTACACAACTATCTGCTCGTTTCAGTACTTCTGTTAATTATCAAAAGATCATGGAACAACATGAAATTGTGCCAGATGTCATTCCTGAAGCCCCTAAAGGAAAAATACAAGTAACGATTCATTCAATTTAAATTAATTAAACTTTTCCAATTTTAGCTCTGTTACTTTCTGTTAAGCTCTATAATACTGTTTTAAAAACTTAAATGTTAATTTTTATCTATAAAAGTTTTATTATTTTATCAACATAGTACTACATGAAGATCAATCATATCTTTCTGTCAATATTTTATGATCCCTGGCATATTGTAAAACCTTTATTCTATATGTAAATACAAATTGAAAATACTATTTTGAAGTCTATTAAAGAGTTTGATTGGTTTTAATATACCAAATGGATTTTAAAACTAGCATCAATATATGGCATGACACATATATTAAAATATTGAATATAACACTCTAGGAAGTATAAACTAGTTTTACTTCATAAAATGAAGTTAATAATTTATTTAAATTTATGATATTATTTATTAAAAATCTATCAAATTGTCCAGAAAAATAATTTGGTAATGTTTTATTCCTAAATATTGAATTTAATATTTAAATTATTTATTCTCACAACAATTAAATAATTAAAATAATAAATATTTTGGATTTTTATTGTATTATAGTATTTAATTTAACTTTTAAAGTCATGCAATATTTATTTCAGTTTTTAATATTGTACTAATTTTTTTTTTAGGTATCATATCCTAGTGGTGTCAATGTAGATTATGGAAACGAACTTACGCCAACACAAGTAAAAGATGAACCAACAGTTAAATGGGATGTTGAAGATAACACTCTTTACACTTTATGCATGACAGGTATTTCTTTTTAAGTATCACCATATAAGTTAATACTACATTAACTAGTCAACAAATTACCTAAAAACTATTTATGTTTTATACATATTTTTGGTTAAAAAATGATATTCTTACATTTTTAAATAAATAATAGATCCTGATGCTCCTAGTCGAAAGGAACATACTTATAGAGAATGGCACCATTGGCTTGTTGGAAATATACCAGGTACTGAAATAAGCAAAGGTGAAACTCTTTCAGAATATGTTGGTTCAGGACCACCACCAAATACTGGTAATTAATACAGTATGATTGCTGACTTATTATTTTTATTTTGAAATATTGTTCTTAGGACTTCATCGTTATGTATTTTTGGTATACAAACAACCATCTAAATTAACATTTGATGAACCACGTTTAACTAACAAGTGAATATTTAAAAAATTATTCTTAATATTATTTTTATAAATTATTTTTTAATTATATTTCAATATTTTGTTTTTATTTTTTTTTTTAGATCAGCTCTTAATCGTGAAAAATTTTCTATTCATAAATTTGCTAAGAAAAACACCCTTGGATCACCAATTGCTGGCAATTTTTATCAGGCACAATTTGATGATTATGTACCATTGCTTTATAAACAATTGGGTGCAGCTTAATCTGTTAATAATGATTATCAGTTTTAACCTGGAAATGTTAAATCAATAATATATTAAATATGTTCAAATATATATATATATATATACATATGTCCTCATTTCAATTTATTAAATTATTTATGTACTTTCTATAAAAAGTTTTAATAAATGAATTTTTCGACTTAAAGTTATAGTTTATTTTCTTAATTTAATCTTTTCGCTTTTGTTTTCATTATATTAACATGTTTTTTTATCAGAATGTATATTTGTTGAAAATGGCACTATTTAATAGTAGTTTATTTCAGTTAGTTATCAACAGTTATCTTATCTAAATAATATTAATGAACTTTAACATTATAATCAATCAGTTCACTGTTATATTAATAAAGCAATGTTAGATAACTACTTTAGTGGTAACCATACAATATTAGTTCTAGTTTAATTTGATGCTATTGATGAATACATGAATAAAGAACAATTTTTTTTATTATACTAATTTAATTGTTCTAAACAATATTTAAGTAATAATGATAAAACAACGACTGAAAAAATGGACATCTATAATTAATACACAATTGATATTAAGTATGTATTCTTTATTTGTATATTATTTTAGTTATCTAAAAATTTGTTTTACTTCATGTAAATGTTACAGAACGATCATTTGTAGTGACACAGCCACGGCGTTGTCACACGTTGACACCCCGCGGTCATGTCAGCTCCTTCTCAGCCACCGCTTCACTGTAAACCGGACCGTTACACACACGCGTTATCGTCGTGGTGTAAAGTCCAAC